ATAGATTGGGTTGGAAAAGACCTCCAAGATCATCAAGTCCAACCCCTGATCCAACTCCAATTACTATATCATGGCACTAAGGGCCACATCCAATCTCTGCTTAAAAACCTCCAGGGATGGTGAATCCACCACCTCTCTGGGTAGGCTGTTCCAATGCTTGATTACCCTCTCTGTAAAGAATTTCTTCCTCACATCTAACCTAAACCTCCCCTGGCAGAGCTTGAGCCCATGTCCCCTTGTCCTATTGTTGGTTGCCTGGGAGAAGAGACCAACCCCCACCTGGCTATAACCTCCCTTCAGGTAGTTGAAGAGAGTGATGAGGTCACCTCTAAGCCTTCTCTTCTCCAGACTAAACAACACCAGCTCCCTCAGCCTCTCCTCACAGGACTTGTGCTCAAGTCCCTTCACCAGCCTCATTGCTCTTCTCTGGACCCACTCCAGCACCTCAATGTCCTTCCTGAACTGAGGGGCCCAGAGCTGAACACAATACTCAAGGTGTGGCCTCACCAACGCAGAGTACAGGGGAAGGATCACTGCCCTGCTCCTGCTGGCCACACTGTTCTTGATGCAGGCCAGGATGGCATTGGCCTTCTTGGCCACCTGGGCACACTGCTGGCTCATGTTCAGCCTCCTGTCGATCAGCACCCCCAGGTCCCTTCCTGCCTGGCTGCTCTCCAGCCACTCTGTGCCCAGCCTGTAGCGCTGCAGGGGGTTGTTGTGGCCAAAGTGCAGGACCCGGCACTTGGCCTTGTTGAACTTCATCCCATTGGAGTCAGCCCAACTCTCCAGTCTATCCAGATCCCTCTGCAGAGCCCTCCTGCCTTCCGGCAGGTCGACACTCCCTCCCAGCTTGGTGTCATCTGCAAATTTGCTGATGATGGACTCAACCCCCTCATCTAAAGCATCAATAAAGATGTTAAACGGGACTGGGCCCAGCACTGATCCCTGGGGGACACCACTGGTGACCGGTTGCCAGCTGGATGCAGCCCCGTTCACCAGCACTCTCTGAGCCCGGCCCTCCAGCCAGTTCCTGACCCAGCACAGAGTGCCCCTGTCCAAGCCATGGGCTGCAGCTTTTCCAGGAGTATATTATGGGAGACAGTGTCAAAGGCTTTGCTGAAGTCCAGATAGACCACATCCACAGCCTTTCCCTCATCCACCAGCTGGGTCACCTGATTGTAAAAGGAGATCAGGTTGGTCAAACAGGATCTGCCCTTCCTAAACCCACGTTGGCTGGGTCTGATCCCTTGTCCATCCTGTAGCTGCTGTGTGATTGCACACAGGATGATCTGCTCCATAACTCTGCCGGGCACCGAGGTCAGGCTGACAGGCCTGTAGTTACTAGGGTCAGCCTTGCATCCTTTTTTATGGATTGGAGTGATATTTGCCAACTTCCAATCATATGGGACCTCCCCCGTGAGCCAGGACTGTTGGAAGATGATGGAGAGCGGCTTGGCAAGCTCTTCTGCCAGCTCCCTCATCACCCTAGGATGGATCCCGTCTGGTCCCATGGACTTGTGAGGATCCAGATGATTCAGTAAGTCACCAACTATTTCCTCCTGGAATACAGGGGGGCTGTTTGGCTTCCTGTCCCTGTCTACCAGCTCCAGAGGACAGTTGTCCCAGGGGCCACCTGTCCTACTGGTGAATACTGAGGCAAAGGAGGTGTTAAGCACCTCAGCCTTCTCCTCATCTCTATTAACTATGTTCCCCCCCAAGGTCCAACAAGGAGTGGAGGTTTTCCTTGCCCCTCCTTCTGTTATTAATATATTTATAGAAGTGTTTTTTGTTATTTTTAACAGAAGTAGCCAAATTGACTTCAAATTGCACTTTTGTCTCTCTAATTTTCTTTCTGCATGACCTAGTTATACTCCTAAACTCATCCTGAGTAAATGTAACATGCTGCATTGCAGAGAACTAAAGCTGTAAGACCCCCTGCAGCTACAGAGATAACATTGAAAAGCTGCAGGGACAGAGAAAAAAAAATGTAGAAACTCCTCCCCACACAGACCAGCTCAGTGAGAGAAGGTAGTTTTCAGTGGTATCTTTTCTCTGCATCTAGAAATGATCTTAGCATTTTCTAACCTTTTCTTTTTTTTTCTTAATTCTCTTTGCATCTCTTAGCAATTAATAACAATCAGTTTTTGGTATCAACAGATAACTTGTGTGAGTTTTAGTTCTGCTCAAGGGAATATTCAAATCTCAAGTTCTTTCTGCAATATTTCAACAGATTGTAATGAGGGACCATGGAAAAGGGTGAAGGGTGGAAAAAAGGGGGTGGTCTGGAAGGTCTGATGGTCCCATGGGGGTCTTTGGGCACAGGGGGTCTGGGAAAGGGGGGTGGTCCCCCTGAGCTCCGAAAGTACTGTGAGGTGCTGGGAACTGCTGGGTTATGTCAGCAGTTTAAGTTCAGAGGAATTACAGAGGTGGGACTGAACCACTTTTGTCCCCCAGATTTTAATAACAACAAATCACATCTATTGATAGAAATGAATTATTTAGGGTTACAAATGATCCGACAAAAGATCTTCATCAGAATTATTTACTGCACAAGAGAAACACTAAAACTACCAGTACGACAGCATAAGATAGGACAGAGCTCTACACTAAAGCAATTGTTGAAGCAATTCTACTCAAGCTGGCACCAAAGCAAAAATTTTTAACTAGAGATGGATGGAACTCCCCCAGACCAACGCTCGGGGGGAGATCTCTGCTCTCAACCTCCAGCACTGACCTTGGGGGGTCCCAGCCAAAACAGGAATCTCCACACACTCCCCAAGAAGGGTTCTGTTGGCACAACCTGCCCCTGGCAAAGGGGACTGGCCCTTTCTGGTAGAAAGGGATGGACTGACAGTCACTGGACTCATGGGGTTGCCTCACCATCAGGGGGGTCATTCGGGGTGGGAGCAGCGGCCGAAGCTCCTCCTGCAGTTGGGGAACTCGGAGGGCTTCATTTACCGGTGGGTCCGTTGGTGTGAGGTCAAGGTAGAGCTCTGGCTGAAGCTCTTCCCACACTCCCCACACTTGTAGGGCCTCTCCCCTGTGTGGATGCGCCGGTGGGTGACGAGGGTGGAGTTCTGTTTGAAGCCCTTCCCGCAGTCGGTGCAGCGGAAGGGCCTCTCCCCTGTGTGTGTCCGCTGGTGCTTGTGGAGATCTGAGCTTGTCTGAAACCTCTTCCCACATTCCAAGCACTTGTAGGGCCGTTCCCCAGTGTGGATGAGCTTGTGTTGCTTTAGGGTGGAGCTGTCAATGAAGCTCTTCCCACACTCCCCACACTTGTAGGGTCTCTCCCCGGTGTGGAGGCGCTGGTGCCTGACGAAGTTGCCATTCCAGGCGAACCTCTTCCCACAGTCGGTGCAGCGGAAGGGCCTCTCCCCTGTGTGTGTCTGCTCGTGCTGGTGGAGATGTCTGCTGGTCTGAAACCTCTTCCCACATTCCCTACACGTGTAGGGTCGTGCCCCAGTGTGGATGTGCTGGTGTTGGATCATGTTGGAGCTCGAGGTGAAGCCCTTCCCACAT